GCACTGAACTGAATGACAATCAGAGTGGTTTCATTCTCCGACACTGATTTAACATGATGAATCTGTCAAAAAACATCCTGATGGGGGCCGACGAGGGGCAACGGTTCAGGACATACTGCACCAACTCAGGTGACAGATGATTACCAGTGGCTCAACGTTGACTGACGGCCAACCATTAGCCTGTTGTGTCGGGGCCTTAAAAAGTAAAAATTCTGATTTATCTGTCAGACAAATTGCAGGTTAGAGCTCTGATCAGGCCGTAAAAATCAGACCCAACCCTTCATGAACCCAGACAGTTTCTGTACAAGCTTGACCCGAGCACAAACCCCAACAGCAGCTTTGGGTCCAAGCCCGATTAAAAACCAGAATCTCTACTGTAGAAATCATATTTTATCTGGCTGCAGCTGCCTCACCACGGTGAAGTTAGTTTTCAGTTCGATATTTGACAGACATTCACTGCAGACCCAGCAGCATTGCTAAGTTTCTCTTTTACTGGATGTTGGCAACAGGAGGACGGCTAGCTCACCTCCCAGTGCTCCTGTTACTGTTTGGGGCTGAAGTGGACAGTCAGTTGTACTATGACTACCACTGCATGTGCATCGTGACTGCAGCTCTCTGCAGACATTCAATGGGGAAAGTATGTCTGAGCCTTTACACACATCACTCCCACTGCTGGGGAGGCAGATGCAAACAATGCCAATCAAGCCGTCTCGCAGCCCACCCTCCTGTCTTCCTCTTGTTTTCCATCCCTCTGTCTCACACACTCTCTTCTGGTTCTCCACTACATTGCTCTGTTGTTCTGTCACTTTCCCCTCTCTCAGTCGCAGCCCCCCCCCTTCCTCTGTTTCCCTCTCGATTCAGTCCGTTAAAACTCCTGCTACTTATGCACAAGAACTGCCAGTTTCATAACAACAACAACAAAGCACCAGTAAACTGGCAAGAACCCGACCTGATTCAAGCCCAGAGAAATAATGAGAACTTGTAGCCTGGCCTGGCAACAACATGGCGGAACAGGTCAGGCCCAATCGGACTTGGGCTGAGATTCAGGACTCTGCCACAGGCTGCCAGGTGGGCGTTGTGGTACCCTTTTTGGTGACCAAGGTTGTTGCAGCCCTCGTGAAGATTTTCTGTTGTCGCTTATCAATATCTGATCACATCTGCTGGGCTCACAGATGTTTTCTTTATTACTATTTTAATTTATTAGTAACATTATATTAATATCTGGGCTCTGGTGGGTGGGTCAAAAAGTGGCAGCCTCCTCCCCCACATCATTGTCCATCAGCATGTTTCACTGTGGATATCGTCTTATGCCAATATGGTAGACATCGTGCAATCCTAATCTTGACATTTTAAGACCAGAATCCGACTGGACTAGCATTGTGGAGGTCGATGCATTTGGTGTTTGGTTAAGTTTGGATACAAACCCTGATGGAGAGTCAGCGCTGTGCTGCTGTAGCTCCCCACTCCCTGAAACATTAAACAATGGCCTTGCTTTGTGCCGTATCAGAGTATTGTTTCAATATCAGCACAGAAACTCAGATATCAGACTAATGTTTAAAGCATCAGCTGTAAAAAATGTCAAACGATACCCGGCGTCGTGCCCGTCCCGTATCAAGGACACACACACTTTATGATTATCTCATGGCCACATAATCCACATCATTAAACCTCATCATCAGCGTCCACAAATAACTTCCTGTCGGCTAAGCGGGGAGCTACAGTGTGCTTCCCTACGTTTTAATCTGTCACATTACAGCTTGTGTCTGCTGACCTGTCCAGGGTGTTTCCCTGCCTTTCACCCAGTGCATGCTGGGATAGCTTCCAGGAATAAGCAGGTATAGAAACTAGATGGATGGGATTATGTGCCTGCTGCTGCTAGCATGTTTAGCCTGTGTGTGTTTTTTCTCACACAAGATCCATTGCTTCATTTATCTGCCCCTCCTCCTCCTCCCCCTCTCTGCTGCTAACCCTCATCTTCCCCGCACACACACACACACACACACACACACACACACATACATACGTCGACACATTATTCCACAGTGAGTACAGGTCAGTTCAAGCCCATTACCCCAGTGTAGTGAGAGCAGTTGTAGCCAGCAGCTTTATTTAGGCGGTGTGCTCCTGCTGTACTGCTCTGTAACCCTGACCTGTCGGCTTGTTAATTCTAACCCGCAGCCCTTGAGTGGTAGACCTCTGTTTATCCCATTGACTGAATGAGATGATACACTCACTCCACAGGAGGGATGATTCAATTTGTGAACCCTCCCGACCTCGGCAATGAGAACCAAAGTGCAGTCTCAGCTTCTCTGCATGCGGAGTTATGCTGCTACACACAGTGCTGTGCAGGAAACGAGCATAACCCACGCTCAGCCTCCGTGTGCTCTGTGTTCTTTTGCCTCCTGGGTTAATGTTTTAACATAACTTTGATGCATGCAGTAGTAAGAGGAGGAGTTGTAGCAAGGCAAAGAGGAAAGGGTAGTGTGATATTGACTTTATTTACTTGAGTTTCACCCAGGGATTGGCAGTAAGTCAGGATGATTATCTGCTGGCTTTCTGCAGTACAGCACAATATCATGATGGTGTGTTTCTGTCCAAATTAATGATTCCAGACAAATGTTATTAAAAACTGACAAAACTAGTCAGTAGAGATTTTGTGATGTGGAGAGTTTGGGCTCGTATAACTCAGAATAATGTGTGTTACTTCACCTCATCTGCTCTGAACATCAATTTGTCTATTTTATGTCATTTTGTCTTTATTGTTTTTGTGTATTTTGGGGGGGATTTTATCGTAGTGTGAGATCAGACTGTAGAGAGGTAACAGGCAGTCATCAGGTGGACAGAAACGCATGTTCAGGTTACTTTATTTGTACTTGTGGGTAGATTTGCTGTGCAGTAGATGAAGCATCTGTCCTTACACACATTTTACAAACAACACAGGCAATAGGCAGACGTTATTAAAGTACTCAAGGTTCCAATAACCACTAATAAACCACTAAAATAAAATTTTAACAAAAAAATGTTGCTTCTGTAACTCGTCTGATTGATGGCCGCTGAAACAAAGCAGCTCTTCGTTCTCCACCTCGGGACCATTAACCTTCATCCAGAAGGAAGAGACTGAAATTCAGTGTGCAGAGGGAGGGAGTCGACATTTAATTGAGCTGGTTATCTGCTCTAACTGTCTGGTGTAAAGGGACACCGGCTCAGACTGTGATTCACCCATCAGCCTGTCTATTAGACTATTTTACAGAATGACTCAGAGAGTTCTTGTTCTTTAAAGAACAGTGTCTAAATCATGATGCCAAAGAAAAAGAAATTGTGATAGAATAAGGTCGTTATGTCTGAAGGTGCTTGAAGGAGTGAAAGAGGGAGGGTGTGTTCGCACAGTCCAACAAGTCTTTAAAAAATCTGATTTTGAGTCAAAGAAGCAAAAGCAGCTCCAGCTGTTCTGCTTTTCCATATGTGGATGTGATAAACGACACGTTAGAGAGCGTTAATCAGAGTCTGCATGGCTGCATGGAAACAGTGTTATCAGTGAAATTCATCTTCATTAGTCAAGTAAACAGCCTGGTAGGAATGTTGTCTTTTTTGGAGTTAAGACAAGAAATGGAATATTTTGTGCATGTAAATATACTCAATGTGGAAACTGGACCTAAACAAACCAAATGCTGGTTCCACAGTTTGCTTTTTAGTTTAGTTTTGAGTGAATAACTGTCTGGATCTTCCTGTCAATCCTGCTGTCCCAAGATATTTGCAATATTGCATCCTTCTGTCTGACTCTTAAGGGATGTGACTTCATGTATGTGGACGTGTCTTCTAAAATCAGTGATCATGTTTATGGTTTAAGAAATGTTTAATTAATAAAAAATTTTTTAAACCCATAAACATGATCGCTGATTCTTAGAAGACATGTCTACATACTTGAAGTGACATCTCTTAAGAGTCAGGCAGTGGGATGCAATTTCTTTTAAAAAGATGGGGAAACAAGGCAATGAGCAACTTGTTGAGAAATATTCCTAAAATTGCAAAAAATTGTAGATGTAAAACTTTTTTTTTTTTTAAAAGCTAGGGGGGAAAAAAGAAAAAAATATTATTATATATTTAAAATAATGTTATAGAATTATTAGAATTTTAAGTTCTTATTCTAGGTCATTTCTTTGTCTGTTTGTTTTTAACTTTCTTTTCTTTTTACTTTTTTTAAACTAAATTTTACTAATTTTTATTTATTTATTTATTTTTACTAATTTTCTTGTTTTTAATTTTCTCTTTTTTTTAACTCATTTCTTGCAAATTTTTGGGGTCATTTCTTCTGTCGTTGCTCATTGCCTCTTCTTCTTCCAATGTTACTGAAAGAAAACCAAGCCAATTTGCTCAGGTGTCAAAGGGTTAACCCTGGGCAACTTGGCAACAAAAGATGAAATGACTCAAAAAATGCATGAAATTATTAAAATGAGAAAATTAAAAACAAGAAAATTAGTTAAAAAGTTAAAAACAAACTAACACACGAGGAAACGGCCTGAAAAAAGAGCTTAAAAATTCTAATAATTCTGTATCATGATTTTAAATGTATAATAGCTTTTTTGTTTTTTCCCCTGGCTTTTTAAAAGTTTTTCTAAATCTATTAATTTCTTTGCAATTTGTGCAACATTTTTTAACAAGTTGCTAATTAACTTCTCCCCCCATGTTTTTAAAGAAATTGCATGCTACTGTCTGACTCTGAAGGGATGTGACTTCATGTATGTGAACATGTCTTCTAAAATCAGTGATCATGTTTATGATTTTGGAAATGTTTAATTAAAGAGTCTCCTCATGCACAACTCCAAATAAAAGCTGATATTTCTTTGTGTCTGGCTTGGTGTGGAATAAACAGTTTGCTAATAAGTTCACTATGAAAACTGTATAATGTGTTAAAAACAGTCATTACAGTCTTAACAAGGTGGACGGCAGGACCACATATAACAAACATAATATTAAATAAATTTTTCCCCTCTGTGTTTTAGGGGTCCCTTCAGCGTGGTGCGGCGATGCATCAACAGAGAGACGGGGCAGCAGTTTGCTGTCAAGATCGTGGACGTGGCCCAGTTCACCTCCAGTCCTGGACTCAGCACGGAGGGTAAGAGATCACCGTCTCTCACTGTATCACTGCGTCTGTTACTCACTCTGCTGTTTCCAGCTGCTCATAAATATAACCAGAGATAATTGCTTTGTCCCACTCTGTTGCACACTAAAAGTTAATGCAATGGAGAGGTCAGACGCTCGTCCTTGTTTATGTGTGTAAGTCCACACTGGCCTACTTCTCATTCACTCAGCCGCTCGCGTCCACACTTGGGAGTTTCACAGTTCAATCAAAGTCTGCTTCTGTTGTCTTTGGGCTGTTTTCATTGAAGCAGTTAATTATGAAGCCACGCCAAGGGCACCTTGAGACAAGTTGTTAGGAGAGAACTGTACCATCCCTCCTCTGTCTGTACAGTGATTTCACTTAGAAACACACTTTGTAAATCAGATTCATGTGTGATGCTGTAGGATGTACTGTATGTAGAGATAGGGCTGCACAGTATAAAAATGATTAATATTTATGTGTCATGCATCCACACGCTGCATGCCGTGTTGAAACTGTGGTGTAGGTAGACAGCAACAACTCAACTTCATATATTTTTGTTTAGTTACACAGAGTTTAATTAAACATGTGTTTTCACTAATGCAAATAAAGGCTGCTGAGCATCGTCAGGATGAATCAGAGGTCTTATCAGATACCTGCCACGGGCTGAAGGAGCATAGGAGGGAACGATGGAGAGAACAAGAGAGGAGGAGAGATTGAATTTAAGATATTTGGATGTGGGGGTTGGAGGTGGTAAGACAGAAACTATTAGGCGAGCTGAGAAGTCTGAGGAGAGATTTAGAGGAAGGCAGGTCTTCTCTCAGAGACAGGAGAACGTGGTCAGTCAGCTGTGACACAGGTTTACTACAGCCCATATACCCAGCAGGTATTTTTAGAAAGCAATGAATACACCTACAGTACTTAACGTCTGACCTCATGTTCACGTATCACTGCACTGTGTGGAGGGACGAGTCTTTTTACTTGTTAAAATAGAACGATAAAAAACAAAAAAACAACAGCGAGTTTCAGACCACAGGCAGAGGTGTTGTCTTCATGGTGACAATTCCTGGTTCTCCAGGACGAGCTGGAAAGTGTTGCTGGGGAGAGGGACGTCTGGGTTGCTTTGCTTGGCCTGCTGGCCCTGCAACCCGGCTTCGGATAAGCGGATGAAAATGGATGGATGGAATCAGCTGTTCATCCTCCATTGCGGCACTTTCCAAGTGAGTGGCAGGAACAGATGGAAACACGGCATCTGACAAAAGTTTCGCTCACAAAGGAGCATTGCATAGCTCACGACCTGTTAGGACACCCCTCACGTTGGCTTCAAATCCAAAATGTTGTCATATTGGTGCAGTTTTCTCGGTGACTAACTCTGCCAGGTCTCGTAAACTGGATTAGACTGAATATCTGTATACACTCATGGACCCTTCCATATACCATAGATTACATGTAACCATGCAGTCATTTTAATGCCATGAAAACAACATCATAGAGCAACAGAACCTGAGTTATCTTTCTTTTGTTCCCTTTAGCTCAGTATTGTTCAGTATTGTTCATTGTGATCGCTGTGGGCAGAGTTGCTGCTTTCAGCCTCTTTGTTCTGCTCTGGATGTGTGTGAGATTGTTGCTGCAGTCTGTTTGTATCATCTGCTCTTGTCTGTGGGAGCAGATGATCATAAATGCCTAAATGTCATCCTGGGGTTGAAAATTAAATTATTGGTATTTGGTTTGTTGTAGTCGAGCTCTGAATTACTGTACTTCAAATCCAATGAGGTTAGATTTGCTCTTAAATGATGCCAACAGAGATCTGTGTCACCAAGGAGGCATCTCACTCGGCTCTCTAACAGATTTCTAACCACACTGGTGTCATGGCTCTTTGGATGGGATATCAGTCAGTCCACCAGTTTGGTGTAGACCCAAATATCTCAACAACTATTGGATGGATTGCCATTAAAATTTTGGACAAACATTCTTCGTCTCAGGAGATGTAGATGATTATCGCTTATCGCAATAATTTCTGACGCAATTAATCGCTCAGCAAAATTTGTTATCGTGGCAGGCCTAAGTGGACAGACAGTGGACTTGTTCCCACACCAAGCCCCATATCAGACTGGTCATATGTCCAGAATCTTTCTTACCCAGCCATAATGCTGCACATCTACACCAGGAACAGGATACGCAAGTGTAGAAAGTATATCTGTGTATGTTTGGATAGATAAAGGTGATTGTTTACGCCGGTTGCACCGTCTAAGCTTAATCCTTCTACTTGCTAAGATCATAGATAAGTTTTACGCCATGTCAGGAGCAGGCGTTAAAATCTCATCAGTTTCTATAAATCTTCAGCCTGATACACAACCCAAAGACCATGAACAACCCAACATTAACTTTTGTGCTAAAGTCTCCTTCTTATCTGGTTTTGACCTTCACTCAGACTTGTTGAAGGAGCAACCAAACAAACATTCACTGGTGTGTTTTTGCTTCCAGGACACTAAATGTCTCATTTTTTGGGAAAGATATCCATCCCCAATGGTTTGTACTTGTATCTGATTTTCTATACTAATATCAGGCGTGACATTTTCAAGCGATGGACGGTGCACACATGCTGTGAGTTGAAGATAATTAATGTTTCTTAGAGGAGCTTTACCTGCCACATTACACAGCAGCCTCCTTTACTACCTCTAATTCTCTCTCAGTGATCGAGAGTACATAATCCAGCATGACAGGGCGTCTCCTCGGTTTACTTAAGCTTCTACAAGGCAGACATAAAGTGCTCAGCCAGTCGTACTGTGATCCCCCACAAAACACCACATGCACGGTTCTCACACTGTAAGAGGGGGATTTTTAAAATCACATCTGTAGGAGAGTCTGTCCTGTTCTTATTTTCATGGTTGTGTTAATTTTAACAAGAGCGGAAACATTTTGAATCGTCCCGTCTAACACATGACACCAGTGTGGCTTTATCTAGTGTTGTGATACAATCAGAAATACCACAACAGGGGCACATTTACATATGAGCATGCACACACCTGCAGAACCATTTAACTTGATGAAAGCCTTTAAAGAGTGGAGCTAAATGTCAGAGGACTTCAGGCCTAATGAGGACAAAAGAAAAGACAATGAGAAAGCAGTGTGGATTATTTTGGTGACGCTCTGGCTTCTAAGAGAGACTCAGCTTGTTCTTCTCTGATGACCACAAATCTTTCAAAAGCCTCGTTTAATTTTCCTGCATTTCATCACAATAATACTGAGCTCATGCTCACAGCAGGTAAACCTGAAAACACTGTTTGGATGTGTCTTGTACAGGCTGGCCTTTTCAGGTTGTTTAAAAAGTTTACATCCACACTGAAATACAAAATAGGTGTGGGACATGTTTGCATATCTTTTTCTTAAGGTTAAAGTGATCATCTGAAAAGAAGCGGTACAGACAGCTCAGTTACTCTGCAGGTTAAAGGTGTAGCGCCTCATACTTCATCACTTATTTGCAGTTTCAGGATAACTTAACACAATTTAGTCATCAACATATTTTTTTATTCCTGCTGTCAGAAAACTGTAAAGTATAAAGTAGTCATAGTGGAACATAAATACTTGGGACTACCGTTGAGACTGTCGACCAATCTGTGTTTCAGGAACGCAAAGTTGTCTGATAAGGTGCATATAATACAGATTAATCAAACACCTGCACTGTTTGATCAGATATATCAGGGTTCAAAATGAGCAGTTACAGAGTTGGAGGCAAAAGAAAGTTTCCCTCTGAAGATTTTAGCAGCACAGTATCTTGATTTTCCGCCAATGTTGGGCCGTTTTGCCGGCAAGCTGCGAGTGTTTAGACACACAGAGCTGGATTGGCGAGTTGATCCGAGGTGCCCAATTTTCCGCCTCGTAGGGTAGACATATTGGCAGAACCCTTTTAGTTTAAACAGAATGAGGCGGCCTTCTGCAACGGGAGGGGCTGTTGATGACTTGTGGGAGAGACTGTTGATGACTTGTGGGAGGGACTGTTGATGACTTGTGGGAGAGACTGTTGATGACTTGTGGGAGGGACTGTTGATGACTTGTGGGAGGGACTGTTGATGACTTGTGGGAGGGACTGTTGATGACTTGTGGGAGGGACTGTTGATGACTTGTGGGAGGGACTGTTGATGACTTGTGGGAGGGACTGTTGATGACTTGTGGGAGGGACTGTTGATGACTTGTGGGAGGGACTGTTGATGACTTGTGGGAGGGACTGTTGATGACTTGTGGGAGGGACTGTTGATGACTTGTGGGAGGGACTGTTGATGACTTGTGGGAGGGACTGTTGATGACTTGTGGGAGGGACTGTTGATGACTTGTGGGAGGGACTGTTGATGACTTGTGGGAGGGACTGTTGATGACTTGTGGGAGGGACTGTTGATGACTTGTGGGAGGAGCTGTTGATGACTTGTGGGAGAGACTGTTGATGACTTGTGGGAGGGACTGTTGATGACTTGTGGGAGGGACTGTTGATGACTTGTGGGAGGGGCTGTTGATGATGGTAGCAGGAATTAGCGAGCAGCTAGTAGCAAGAGGGAAACACAAACCTGACAGACACTGTAAAGATGAGCAACTGGGGAGACAAGGAATTGCGCGCCCTCCTTGTCCTCGCAAACGAAGAGGCCATTAACCGTCAGATGACGGGGACGGTGAAGAACGGGCTGACTTATGAGAGAATCACCAAAGGATTGACCAGCCGCGGCTTCCCTCCCACGTCACTGTTTACGTCACACGCTGACCTACACGTTGTGTTACTTGCTCACGCCCCCCATTGCCCCGAAAAAGGTGCATTAAACAAAAGTAGGTAAGCGGCATTTTGCTGCACTCTCTGATTTTGTTTTTATACTGCCAATGCTGAAAAAAAACTGATTGGGCTTTCCTGCAAATTTGCACAATTCCTATCTAAAAAGGGCTTTTCATACAGTAGATGTTTGGAAAAGCAGCTGGAGTCCAACATTGAAACTAAGCTTTGTATTGCTGTGGACAGGAGCAGCAACAAATAA